AACAATTCCTAAAAATGTTAGTATTGCACTGAGGCAACTGGAGGACAACTGTGTTTGTGCATGAAAACTGAAGTTACCTGTGGAGGCAGCAGGAGGTGGTGCCAGGCATGAATGAGACTCTCTATGATGCCCTCTCCGAACAACCCTGCATCCACCGTCTCTGTCACCACCAAGGACACCCTGAGAAAAACAATCCATTGAATAGAAAAAGCTGGAAAAAACATTTTTACATGAGTATGAATTTCACAGCAGCTGAAATGAAGACGGAGGCGGTGTCTGTAAGATCAAAGTGTAAACTGCACCTGTGTGGAATGTCCTTTGGCACTTCCATCTCCAGAGATTTCATGTGAAGGATCTTGATGCTGCCTTCCATGCCATTAGCAGTCACCACCTCACAGGCCAGTTCGTACATCGTCTTCGACAGCTCACAGGCGTACACCTCAGCAGCCCCTGCCTTCTTAGCACACATCCTTTACAGAGAGCACAGGAATTCAGAACAAGAATATATGTATGTTAAAGCACAGGTTCTATTCAGGCTGTAGCAAAAAAAGCTTCCAAATTCTCATAGAACATTTCTCACCCGAGGATCCCAGTGCCAGTACCTATGTCAAGTACAGTGTGGCAGCCGTTCTGAACAGCCTTCTGAATGGCTTGCTGGTATTTCTGGTTCCTCCCGTGGTCATTGAGCATTAAGAAATGCCAGCGCTCCACCAGCCAGTTGGCCACACGGTAGAAGTTCTCCCTGGCTTCTGGGTAATCTGGTCTCAGCTTTAAGGCTTTGTGGAAATGACCTGCAGCTTCGTCTCTAAATCCCATCCTGGACCATAAATCAGGAGCCAAAATATAAACAAAAACAATTAGCAAATGATTTATCTTATTAATGTCAAAACTACATTATGCCCTGGAATTACAGAATGGTTGAGGTGTTAGAAAAACAATATTTATGATGATAACATTTACAAACCTGAACAAGTGTTCACCCATGCTGTTTAAGATGACCTCGTCCGCAGGGAAAAGTTCCAGCGCTTGTTCGTAACAGTCAAACAGGTCCTGAATACGTCCCACAGAGTCCAGCTCCTCTGCCCATTTAAACAGAGTAAACCTGAAGGACTCCTGAAAGAGAGATGTCCCAAAATTATTTTCCAAAACTGAGCAAGTTTATGTTCCGCAGTTGTGCTTAGTTCAGAAAATCTGAACACTAACGCCATATCTTAAGTCACTATTAGCTATACTCACTTTATTTCCCTAAATTTACTGCTCCCTATTTGCTTTTAGTGTCTCAGTCCTGTTTTTAAATGTATTCACTACGATACAAATTGACTCTACAGCTGTTACTAAGGATGCAGAGTTATGACGTTAAATAAATGCTTAAATGTATAATAGAGAAAGCAGTAAAGGAAAGAACAAGCGAATTCACACACAGCAAAAGATTGTGCGAATGTGGTTATGTGTTATCTGTGCAGTGAGTGTGTACACAGACTGGGTTTCAGAGTAATGCAAACAGTTATCACCTTTGCAATGTCCTTAAACATGGGTGCAAGGTTGAGGACCAGGAGGTAGTGAACAAACGCAGTTCCATAGTCTTGGTTGAACAGGCACTGCTGGGCACTTTCTAGGGAACTCGAGACCAGCTCGTTCCTGGCGGGGTCCTCTCTGCGTCGCCTTCTGCTCCTCCTGCTGTGCTTCGGCCTTGCACTGGCATTAGGCATCCCTTTAGTAGAAATGAAAACAATGAGTAAAGTCTAATAAGAAGGGATAATGACAAATAAAGCCAGGACATAAAGTTTCTTAAGCTAAGGTTCCAAAAAATAAAAGTTCCAGCTTCTCCAATAGGCAATTTCTCTGCTTTTTCTCGTCTTAATATTAAGTGTTATAAGATATCTGAGGACTAGTTTTTTCTGACTAAACAATTAACTGATAGAGAAAATAATGAGCTGAGTAATACTTTATGAAAATGATCAATAGCTAAATGTCTTCTGGCGGGAAAAAAATAACAACAACAAATGAGAAGTAAGAAAATAAAATACATGAATCCATTCAGGGATATCATCTGTTTTCAAATTGTGAGACATTGGGACACACCCCTTTATTTGTCACTCAAATGTTTAAGACAACATATGTCCAAACTTTGACATAATAAGTCACAAACACTAGAAATAAAGTCAGAAGTATGAAACAAAATGTTGGGAGTTTTCAGTAAACGTTATGTGTTGATTTGTAATGTTACAATTAATTATTATTATTATCATTGACATTCCCAATTATTATTATTATTATGTTTTCCTGGAAATGGGCTTCCAAACATAATCATACTAATTATCAGTACAACACCAACATGAACAGGAAACATCACAAAGCCAGTTTAAAAAGTTCATTTAAAAAAATAAAACCACAACAAAGACACTGGAAACTCCACATTCCTTGACAGACAGGAGCTCTGCATGTGGACTTACTGTGTGAGGAGTCAGATCACTGGAGGATGAAGACGAGTTTATTTTTCTTTCATCTATTATCTGTTGTTCATCGAACACAGACATTAACGTTGAGCTTCAGCAGTTAGCATCGCACTGAGCGGTTCTTCCTCCAGCAGCAGGAAGCTAACGTTAGCTCACATGATAAAAACAAAAAAAAATAAGCTGCGATAACTCAGCTGCGTGTCACGAATCCAACATTTCTGATTAATATTCACGTTGCATCCACAGGCTGGTTATTAAAAACAATGAATCACATCTCTGCTGAGAAACAAGCAGCAGCTACCGATCAACCACAGGCGAGTCCGTGCGATAAAACCTTCCGACACGAACATGTAGCGAGCGACATGGTTCCCCCCGGTCATGAAGTATCATTCAACTGTTTCACGTTGTAAAATGTCACGTTAAAGTTGTTTTACTGATGTTTTCTAATTCCTAAATATAAAATGTGTTTTTCAGAGTATCTGGTGGAAACAATTTAATTGATCTAAACTACAGAATATCTGTGAACTGTCCCAGATTTGCATGATCTCCTGCATTCACTGAGCTGAGGCTGAGACTGAGACTGTCTGAAAACCTGAGGCCAACACTCATGGATTTATTATAAGACCTTATAATGAATATTGTACGTAATTACAACAATAAGCCCGAGCAGTTAACAACTGAAACAAAGCAGTAATAGAATCAGACAGCTTGACAGCACTGACAAGAATTAAATCAACATGCAGACAAGAGCTCCTCCTGTAAACACACAGAATTACAATATAATGTAGTGGGAAAAGAAAAAGTCTGAATGATATTAAACAACAGTAAAGAGTCCAGAGATCAACAAACATGAAAATAACACTTTCAGGGAAAAACAAGAAACAAACTAATCACTTCAAGTCATTCTATTCCTTAGAGTTTGAGCACAGTGAGAATAAAGTCGTAACTTTGTGAGAATCTGTATCGGAAGTTATGACGTCAAATAAGACATGGGCCATTACTTTGAAGGAGACGCGTCTGTTTCCGTCTGTGACTTTATTTGTTTTTCAGTTTTTTATTTCTCAGGTTTTAAAAAGAACAAAGTTGATCTGAGTTTTGCTGAGTTGCGTTGATCTCATTTTTATTCACAAACTGCATGACAGTGAAAGTCACTTCCTCTGAGGGAACTAAAGAAGCAGTAAGGGACAATCAGAGAGTAGAAAAGCTCAACATGGTTCAAGTGCCACAACTTCGGACAGGAAGGGAACACACCTCTGCCCGTACTCTTTTCTCTTAATGTCAACAGAAAGAGGACATTCAAAAAAGTAAAGTTATGTTTTTCAAAGCCTAAAAACTATTTGTGTTGATCTCAATGAGACTGTGCAGCAGAACATAACTGTGGACAGATCCTTGATACTGTACTGTGTACTACTCTGTCTCTGATCTGCATATGATCACCTGAGCTGTTGTTTTTTAGTGACTGAACTTCTGAGGTTGAAAGTTTTCTGCTCTAAATGAACTTATTGAGATTAATTTTAAACGTTTTCAGATGTTGTGCTGACTTGTAGGAGTCGGCCGTGATGGGAGCTTTATTATTAATGACACAAAAATAAATATTTTATATGAATACGACGTGACTGCTTCACTGGAATTCCTCCTAATCAGCATCATGAGGATTGTTGAAGCTTTAAAAGTTAAATCTTGGACACAAGCTGCTCATCTTGTTTTTGGAAACAGTGGAACAAAAGTCTGTATGTTTTTAATCCAAGAGCTAAAGTGTGATAACTAAATAACTAACTGACTAACTAACTAAGTATGTGTTTAATTTAAGAAACAAACTAACTAGCAAACTAACTAACTAACGATTTGTTTAATTTAAGAAACATACAAACAAACCAACAAACTTATTTTTTAAATTTAAGAAACTAACTGACTGGCTTACTTTTTGTTTAACTAACTAACTAACTAACTAACTAACTAACTAACTAACTAACTAACTAACTAACTAACTAACCAACCAACTAACTAACCAACTAACTAACTAACTAACTAACTAACTAACTAACTAACTAACTAACTAACTAACCAATTAACTAACTAACTAACTAACTAACAGACTGACTGAGTAACTATTTGTTGAACTAACTAAATTATACATATACCTAGTTAGTTAGTTTCGTTATTTTTTTATTTTGTTTACTTATTTTGTTCAATTGTTTAGTTATTTTGTTAGTTTGTTTAGTTATTTAGTTAGTTTGTTTAGTTTATTGTGTTAGTTTTTTTACTTATTTTGTTAGTTTGTTTAGTTATTTTGTTAGTTTGTTTAGTTATTTTGTTAGTTTGTCTACTTATTTTGTTGTTATTTAGTTGGTTTGTTTGTTAACTAAATAACAAAATAACTAGGTATGTGTTTAATTTAACTAACTAACTAACTAACTAACTAACTAACTAACTAACTAACTAACTAACTAACTAACTAACTAACTAACTAAGTCCCTCACGTGATGTGACCTCAGCTAACCAATAAGAGAAACTAAAATAAGTACAGACGTGGACCTGCCTGGAGGCGCAGCTGACAGAAGCCGGAAGTAGACTGGAGTGAACCCTCTGAGTTCTGTGCACTCTTGGTCAGAAGTTGTCCTACACGCACGCAGATGTCAGCGGAGTTTCTCCATCTGTCAGTCCGGGAGCTGCAGGGAGTTTGATGGGGGACAGAGACACTAGACACGGGAGCCATGATATTCTGACGACCGCCCCCAGTCAAGCGACCTCCGGTGTACACTTCACCCGACACCGAGCCGCCGCCACCTTCGCACCGTTATACCTGTTAGCTGCTTTTCTGACAACCACCGGGAACAACACCCACCGCGGGGGAACCAACCATGCTAACCTCGGCTAGCCGCCGCTGCCACACGTAGCTATGTTGTCAGTGCTAAACTTTAAACCACCAGCGGTAAGAGCGGGAATCTCCTTGTGAGCGGACACTTTGAGTTTGTAAAGCTGTTTTTTTTAAAAAAAAGCTAGCGGCAGTTTAGTTTCCCTCCCTCCGGTGCTTGCGAGCGAGTGTGTCGGGTAAAAAATGGGACTACACCCGCTGGAGTTCAGTGAGTGCTATCTGGACAGCCCCTGCTTCAGGGACAAAATCAAAGCTCACGAGGCAGAGCTGGACAAAACCAACAGGTTCATCAAGGAGCTCTACAAGGATGGAAAGAACCTCATCAGTGCAACTAAACGTAAGTGTTCGTGTCGGGGGTTTCATGTGATCCTGTCCCTGAAGTCATGCACTCTCCTTGGGAACAAGTCTTCCAGCGTTGCAACATCTTGTTCCCGCAGTTTCCCACTGGTTCTCCGCTGATGTGAGTTAGAGGCAGAGCTGGAGGAAACTGTCATGTTAGTATTTAATTACATTTATTTTCTATGTAATCAGGAAGGTCCCATTGAGATACAGGATCTCTGCTGTTAGGGCTGGAAGTCCTGCATGGTCAAGATGGACAGCAAGGAAGTCAAATAATAAAAAAGAAAAGCTGCAGATATTAACAAGGACACAGCAAACACATTAAAACACATGGGACCTATTAATTATTATTATTATTAACGAAATTAATTTTTGAAATCAATAAATAATCAGAATTTCTTTAGATATTTTACATTCACGTCAGATTGATGAGTAAAACCCCAAAATTCAATAGCTTCAATAGTGCGATTAATTCAAACTATTACAGCACAATATCAGGGCTGGAACAAACTACTATTATCTTTATCAGTCGATCTCCAGATGACCTACTCCACTGTAAAAAAAATAAATAATAAAAAACCCAATACAATCAGTGAAAGAGAAAAGGAAAGTGATAATATAGAAACTGAAATCCAACGGTCTTTGTATGGTTTTCAAAATCCCCTTACTTCACCCAGAGAACATATATGTGAAATGACATGATGGGAAATTAAATGGCAATCACATGGGAGTGTCATTGATGCCCATCAGTGACACTGCTCTATGAAAGCTGATTTTTTTAATATATGCCAAAAGAGGGTAATGATAACCCGATTTAAGATATTCTCTTTTTTCTTAAGTTATTTGAAATGCTCTGGACAGTTATTCATGTTTTGATTCCAACAGAGTGAGTGTGAATGTGTCCCTGCTTTATTTTAATAATCCTGTGCACAATTTGCTCAAAGTCACACACCTCAGCTGGGTTGAAGCGATTAGATTGTTATCGCTTTGAACTCTAGTCCTCTGGGCTGGGCTTGTTAGTAAGGTGACACACACACACACACACACACACACACACACACACACACACACACACACACACACACACAATGCTTTCAGTATGCCCCTCGTTGGAAAATCCCTGAGGAAACCCCTAGAATTTAGGCTAATAATATTTGGCAACATGAAAACAGCAAAGCATTTCAGTCCTGTTTGAAGAGTGAGTGATATATGTTTACTAATACAGTCGTATTAATAGTAGTATCAATGTTGTATTGTTGACATGCAGGTTTCAGCGTGCTTAGAGCTTTGGATTGTTTTTCTACTCTAAAACCTTAAGTCAGGATTAATTTATCACATGTCTGTGTCCATGCTGTCAGTCAGTTGCATATTTGAAGGCATGTCTTTCATTTTGCCTTCAGCACAACCTAAACTCTTCAAGGCAGAGATTCAGCAAGTTGCAATTAAAAACATACCCAACTTGTTTGTGTTGAATGGCTGGCTCTGCGGACTTTTAGTGACATATGTAGAGCTGGGAAATGATATTCTCATTTATTATTGTGTCACACAATCACATTTTGTAGAGCTGCATTGAGGGGGTGGCGGGTAAAGATTGTTGGATTTCATTTTCTTTATTATTACTTTCCTTTTCTGTTTCACTGATTGTATTTGGGTTTGTTTTTTTTTTACAGTTGAGTAGGTAATCTGGAGATGGAGTGATAAAGATAATACTTACTTGTTCCAGCCCTGCTATTGTGCTGTAGTAAAAACACTCATCATGAGTGAAAAATATCTAAAGAAATTATGATTATTTATTGATTTCAGAAATTATGTCCAGGTCTATGTATTTTAACATCCCTTAAACAAACAGCGGATATTTCATGATTTGGCTCAAACTAGTAGGGATTTCACCCAGGATTCAACCTGTTTCCTGGACAAGAGACAAGCTAGCTGCATCCACTCAACTACCGTATATTTATATATGTTAAACAGAAGATGGAATTCTTTTAGCCCTTCTGCACAGTCAGTGTTGCTCTTAGCTGAAGTGAGTGGAACATGCAAATATTTTGCTGCTGCTCTCCTGCTTCACACTGTCACCTTACAGTAATGCTTTGTGGTTACACGGCATTGTTGTACTGAGCTGTTACCTCCATACTTTTGGTCTGTCGTTAGTTTGAGGAGGGCTCGCCATTGTTTCTGCAGAATCATCCCATAGCAATATGCTAACATGCCTCACATTGGCTTGTTAGCATAAACTGATTCATGGTCCGTGTCTTGTTCGTCATACTTTATGTAACCGTGGTTAGACTGTACGTCACTTATTGTGACATCAGAAGTTTGTCCAACATAGTCACATGTATTGAACATCTAGTCTGATAATCCCCATCTGTTTTGTGCAATAGCCTCTCCCTTATGAGAGTATAACAAGGAATAGGGAACCCTGGTCACACTACTCCTGAGGTTATTGCAAAATCAGTTGAAAAGGCCTGCAGTGACTATTGGTCACATTTTTAAAGTGACGTTAATGAAAGGCCTGCTTTGCTCAGACTTTGCTGCAGCCCTTCATAGACACACGCACCTTTGACGTGTTTGTTCCCTTTCCCTTACTGATGTCAAATGACTGTTTTTCACATTGTCACTGTAATCAGGAGTTGCTCGGCCGCAGCAATATATCAAAATTATATGTACAATGGCCAGGTGGTTAAAAATAATACATTGCTGTTTACAAAAGGTGTTTCCTATTAATGTTTAATTCAGGGCAAAGCTAATTAAGCCAAGGTGATCTGAGCAGCTGTGTATCTATGAATGGTAAAACACACAGATTGAGCTTTCCTTTTGTGATTTTAATTACAAATGTTCTATTTTTAGTTGCAGAACTTTAACCTGGATATTTGATACAACAATAGATGGCCTTATAGGGATTGAAATCTATTTGCAAATAATTGCATTTCATACAAAAGTACAAACAAAGTATACCGTCAAACATCCAAGGGATATTCACCATCCAAAACATTCACAGAATTGTGATGCAGTGAAAACATAAAGAATTCAAAAGTTTCATGATGAAGGGGGTTTACTTGAAGTTTGACCTCATGGTGATCTCCTGTGTTGTGAGGACAACTGGTGATCTCCAACTCCCAGTCCATCCTTTCAGTAACTCCCTCCACTCCTACGACTAGGAGGATGTCCCTCTACGGAAAGTCCTTGGTTCTGAGAGGAAACTTTTAAAAGCAGGGCCCTGGGCCAGAGAGCCATGACATGGAAGTGCCCACTAGAAGAGCAACATGCAGATGTGCTTCTGTTTCAGAGGGCTTCCTCCACAGGAACTGTGTCCTGTCTGTACCCTCTCTACCACCCCTGTTGTCCCTAGCAACCTATTTATTCCTTGTTTGGAGCAGAAATGTTGGACTCGGAAGAGTGTGATATAGTTATTGTCTGTCAGACAGATTTTGGTTTATCAGTGTTAATACCATGCATGTTCTGCTATTACTTCAATCATCGGAAAAGTGAAGTTGGACAGAGATTTGCTGGGGTCAATCGCAGTCACGTACACAGGTTTACTTCTTCTGAATTGACTCATAAAACCAAATGTTTTGCATAGATTTCTCCTTCACTTTCAGCTTCACTTTGAAAACTCCAGCCATGTGAAGGTCTTTTTCTCATTGGCAGACAGGTTTAAGAGTAGTCTGGCACGGTGTGCTTTGGCTCACCGCTGCTCTCTGTAATCACATTACTGATTCTGCCAAAGAGCCACAATCTTTCATTAAAATCGCATTAGCGCAAGACGTGAAGTCATGTGGGAGGAACGCTTTTACATGTCTCACTCCAGAAAGAACAAGGCCCGCTGTAAAAGTGATACTGCATTATTGCCTGGTGGTAGTGCTATTGGGGCTTTTTGGTGCAGGCAAAGGTAGAGAACCATTCAAAACATTGCATTATAACTGTACGTTTTTCACAAAATAATATACCGATTTCTTTCACCGCTGCTTTAACCTACAGGTTTGTTTTGAAGACCAGGATGTCATGAATGAAGTAATGCTTTGTGGGCTGGGAGCAGAGTGGGGTGAGAAGTTGTGGGAGGGGATGGGTAGGCAGGCAGTGTTGAGGGCAAAGGTGGAAGCTGAGTGTGGAGCAGGGATCCAGACTGGAAAAGATGGGAGAGTGGAACAGGAAGGACTGTGGAAAGGCGCGCCATGTAAACCCTGCTGCTCTGTGAGGGGCCTGGACCAGGCAACTTGTGACCTAAGTGGCACATTTGATGAAAATGTAGAAATCATAACAAACAACACTCCGACAGCTGCCAATGAATACACTGTGGACATCTTCAGCAGCTGAACCTTGACACATACATACCTTTTGTGGCTTGTTTCGGGGAAAACTTTTTTTGCAGCTGCTCAGACATGCAGTGTGAAGTTTCCTGCTTTAAGGCGCACAGGAAGTTGAAAACAAGTTCAGGATTTGGTTGTTTAAAGTATGATATGTCACAATTCTTTAATTAAATAGCTAAAAACAACAACACCTATATGTAGATTTTGTTGACTTGTTTCCTACAATAATCAAACCCAGATAAACAGATTGCTGGCCAGTTAGCCAGTGACCATTGCTGTTGCTGCGTAACATGAATAAAACTGCAAAACTATGTATACTCCTACTGTAAATTAGAAGCACAAGGGAGAAGCCTGTTGGTACAGGCTCATTGTTTGGCCATCATTGGTCCTGTGTGTTTCCCAAAACATGCCGAGCATACAGAGCTACGAAGGGTGGGCGATAAAAAAACCAAAAAACATCCATATTTAAATGTGTGGGCTCTCCACCCAGTTTATAAGCTTTGCTCTCTGATCCATAGTTGGTGCCTTGAGATTTATAATATGATGGTTTGCTGCTGCTGTTATTAAATCAAACACCTATTGGTTGTTTAGAGAATTGCTCAGACAAATGCATTTTGAAACCTTGCAACATTTCTTCTAATTTTTCACATTTTATCCTTTCAACAAATAAAAGACAAAAAATCATTGTGTCTGTAAATAGTGAAATTATTAACGACTGTCCTAATTATGACCTACACTACAGTTAACACTTGTTATACTTTATTTCTGCCATGATCTATAGCGCTGCCCAGTTGCCAGTGCTCTGTTATTCAGTAACCTCCCAACTGTCATCTTTGTTTTTCTTCCATCTTTGTTTTCCCACCTCTTTTGAACAGGGCCCTCGTGTTTGTGCCACACACAGCTCTGCATTTTCCTTTGCTGGCCTGTTAGATCAGATAGATGTGAGATGGGGATTGTATGACTCATACTCAGAATCCAGTGGACTGGGGTCTCTGGCTTTCTGCAGAGAAACTAGCCAAGTTTGACAGTTCCCAGGTTTGCTCTGAAATGCCTTTCTTTAAAAGGCAAAAAGCAGGAGAAGCCTTCGTCTTGGACCCGTATGTGCCCTGGTGTGTGTGGTATTTGTAGTTTGTGACAGTTCTTTCCCCTTGGACATCCGCTATCATTTCAATCTGCTGTGCAGACCTCTCATCTGACACTTTTGTTTATTGCTCGACTGATTGTATCCAGTTGATCTATGCTGCTAAAACTTCAACTGACACAGCACAGGAACACAAATGCTGCCGCTTTGTTTTTCCTTCCTCTGAATGTTGTCTGACATTGATTAACACTGGAGCTTCATGTAACTGGATAACATTCATTCTTCATGTTTTATGTAATGAAGTCCGCACAGCTTGGTCCCATATATTCTCATGTTAGCTGTCCACCCTGCAGTGAGTTGAACATGCACACAGGCTTTGTAATCAGATTGTGGATGGGTGTGATTTGTGCGCCAGGCTCACATGTGGCTCTAATAAAGAGACTGCAAATCTATCTATTGACATCACTGTTCATGGAGTACACATTAGTGTTCATAGTGACCAGGGCCTTGATCTTTGTCTTAACAAAATAAAGAATGTGTTTGACATACTCCTAGTAAAATACTCCACAACCATATCTTCCTCCCCAAAATAACATCTCAACCAAATCAATGTAAAGAAAAATATACATGTTGATTATATTGTGTAAAAAAAAAAAAAAAAAGCCTTAAGGAATGCTTGAATGACATAGATTTTTGTTACAATAGCATCAACGGCCCTTATCTTTTACAATACAATGACATTAGATACTGACTCCAGCTTATGTCAGACACACTATGGTGTGTTCAAGCTCTGTTAAGGTGTGTCAAGGTTCAGAGTTATGTTGTCAAAACATGTTTTTTTTACTATCTGGAGGGGAGCTGAACTTTCCACTCTACATCCATGTGTATTTAGTTTTAATGTGAGTCCTGCAGTTGACCAACAAAGACTCCATAAGGGTCACTGATTACCCAACAGGCGTATAGGAGTCAGGATTAGGCTGTGACCTCTATTTTTTGACAAAATATTACAAATTACAAAACTACTATAGCGCTCCAAACACAATGGAGCTTCAGTCTAATGTGCAGGTGAAAAGGTACAACCTGTAAAACAGCTTTTCTATGAAAGGGTTTAAAATGGGATTTGAAAATAACGCCAGTCATCTTACCTACATTCCTCTGGCAGATTGTTCAAAGCGTAGAGGCTCTTCAGATAATGGCTCAATAGTTCAGTGATTATGAAACTGTATTTTTGTTTGAAAGGCCCCTCTCTAGTTATAAGGAGGCTTTTATGCAGGTGAAACAGTTTCCATGCAAACAAGCAGCTAGTAAAGATACAGAGCTTCATTCATGGTGAGAGTAGACCATAGACTTTCTGATAAGTTTGTTTTTTATTAGTATTTTGATGCAAAAAAAATGAGGTGAAACATCATGACTGACAGCTGAGACCGACTCGTGATTGTTCGAGCACGTTTATCGACCAAACTATTGATACTGCCGCTCAATCCCCTGAGCTCGCTATTGCACGGATTCTGACAAGACTATTGAAGCTTCATTTGTGGATTATGGGAGGAAGTGCAGACACGTCATCCATCTTTATGTACAAGTCTATGCCTGTATCCTATTACACTTTCGACATTAAAATTGGACATTAAAACAGGGCAGGTTAAAAACCAGAGAGATGAAGCATCCATGTAGCTCACCCTGTTGCTGGCCCTTTGCTGTATTATGTCTTCCCCACTCTCTCACCCCCTTTCACGTTTAACTCCGTCTTGTCAAATAAAGCCCCCCCCCCAAAAAAAACAAAAAAACACAATACAAGTAAGGTTCAGCATTCAATTAAATCTGTGTACGTTATGTCTTGTCCCATTCTGCTAACAGGACATATAGACTAAAAATCAAAGATATTGTTGTAATGTACACACATTTAGGATTACCTGTGTTGTCTGATGTCACTCACATTGCTGCAGAAAGGAAACTATGGGCTAAACCAGAGTGACCAGAGTCACCTTTTATGGACTGGTGCTGGTCTGTGGCTTAGGTTTCCTCTAGATTTTACAGTCACTGCACAGAAACTCGCTATGTTAAGCATACAAGTGTTTGCGACCAAAATAATGGTCTGACAAGCTTATATTTGCTATACCTTTATTTTGGAAATATCACCTGTAGCCCACACTCACGCAGTTCATCAGGTTGTGTTTACATCAGTTAGACAGAGTGTGACAGAAACATTTTGGCCAAAACGTGGAAAGCTTTTCAGTGTATTAATAATATGAGCTAAAGATTCATATTCTCTGGTTGATGCAAGTTTACAATAAAACTTCTCTACTCTAAACTATTGTGTAATACATTCATACAGTAACACACAACTGATTATACACTGGCAATAATGACTCATCCTGCCTTTGACACTTCAATGCTATTGTTTGTTAGCTTCTTAATGTTACTTGTGCAGTGGCGTATTTGGTGTCTGAAGAAAAGACAGAGTAAACAAAGAGCCTCTCTTGACTTGATTAATGGGCTAAAGTTTGGCCTCTGCATTGTCTTCAAGAACCAAGAAATTAGCTATTAACCAATAATTATTTTACCATTAGAATATATTTGCTGAATTCATGTGTATAGGTTAGAGATTACTTTTTATGTTCTTAAGTACATGTCTTGTGTTTTCATTTTTGATTTCTTTAACAATTACCTCATCCACAAGTAAAATCCCATTTCCCCCAGGTTCTATTTAAAGACCTTCTCAAAGAACAAACAATTATAAATACTGCAATACTCAAGCTGCCCCATTGTTGGTGTGAATCCCTTAGCTTCCTGTAGTTCAGTACTTCGGACAAATTGGCCAAAGAAGTCAATGACAAATGTTTTGTTTGAGCCATATTTTCTTTGTGTAATGTAAAGATGTAAGATTGAGCTGAAGAGCAACCAAGCAGTGGATTTCAAGCTGTAGGAAATAAACAAGACAAGACAGAAGCTAATACTCTTTGTACAATGCAGGCTCAGGCAGACATTGTCCAACACCTCACGATTTGTTTTCGAAGTATACACACAAACTGCACAGAGAATGTGTAGGTGCGTACGCAGCAGGTTAACAATGAGGAGAAACAGTACAGCAAAAATAATTGATGTTAGAAGGTGAAAGTGTTGGATTGTTTTTCTAATATTTTATTATAATCTGTGCTATAAGAGTGTGCTTTATTTTGTCTAGGTAATTCTAAAGCTTTCAAACATTCAGCCTTTTTCATTTTAGAGAATATTTGGAGACTTCTGCTGAGTCATTAATAGCAAAAACCTATTTTGGGGGTCATGGATACTGTAGCCTTGAGGACTAAGAAGAATATCACGTTACTGCAACATCTTTAAATCCTGTTAGTGATCTTTGTCACATATCTCCCCTCTTTCTCCCACTGTTTTTCTTCTTAGGATACAGCCATTATTTATGCTATAAACCACGCTTGTTTTTCACACAGTGGAAAAAAATCAGTTAATCTATTAATATCACTAACAGGAAACCATAGATTTGTCTGGTGTAATTGTGATGCCTGTTTTTCACGAGTTTTAGTATTTAAAAAACTAAGAGTCCACATTAATGGAACAAATAATAATTTGCAGTTCTTCATTGTGACTTGACGTCTTGTAGCAGCTTCAGATGCTCAGTGCAGGCCTCTACTCAGTAGTGTAGCTCAGATAATAGTTTCCTATAGAGTCGCAGCAATCTGCCCGAGCTGATGACACTGCTCCTCAGTGCACTGCTTATAGCTGCAGTCTAAAAATAGCCAGGCTGCTGCATTCTGTAATGTTTCCCTAAGGGACGGTCATGGGTCAGAGATCCCACCTTTGGGAATCTCCTCACTGTTTGGAAAGAGATTTGGTCTGCTGTGTTTTTTATCTGACGTGCAGGGGTGTAGCAGTCTGCACTTATCCACTTCTCAAAATATCAAATGGTTTTAATTCAGATCCAGATTCATATCAGAGTATCATCACCAGTGCTACAAATAGATATTCATGCACAAAATTAGATATTGCACTGGCAATATGAATGAATTTGTTACAAGATAAGTGATAATAGCCTGTATTATGTAAAGAACTAGAGGGATCCCTCTCTCAGGACGGACAGAAGTGCAATAGATGCTGCTTTGAAAATAAAGAAAAGATGTTTTAATTGTATGACCTTACAACCTTTCTTTCTCTTGCTCTTCAGTATTTGAACAATTCATTGTTTGCATTATTCTGTTTATTTTTATTCTGTTTGGTTAAGCTATGACTTAATACTCACACAATTAAATAAGGTTTGCACTCTTTTTTTCTCACCTCTAAATTGGGACCTGCCCTCTTGTTAGACAGGGTTTGAATGTGCAACAGGATGTAACAGGCTGCAGACGAACAGGATGTTAAAAACGTGGTTAAGTGTGTGCGCTGCATCAGACCTAGTTTTTAGGACAGCAGTATTGTGTGGGTTTTTAATAAATCCGTTCTTTGGACATTTGTAATAAAAGATGAATTGTATAGTAGTCTAAAAGTTTTTTAGATTTATCATTATTAATCATTTTATTTGTCAAATGTTCTTTCAGAGCTTGGGATGGCACAGAGAAAATTTGCCCAGTGCCTGGGAGAGTTTCAGTTTGAGTACATCGGAGATGCAAAGACAGACGATGAGAAATGTATTGGTAAGTGTGGTTTCAGCCTCCCTGCATAATGGAAACTAACCACTAGTTTTGTTACCACTAAACAGACATGCACCATAAATGTTTGTTTATGGTTCTTTCTCTACCAGCAAATTAAAACCAGTTTTTAGTTTGCACCCATGGTGGGAACAACTGAGAATTATACTTATTTAATTTATTCTATTCCTTTTTTCAGATGAGTCTTTGCAAGAGTTCTCCGTATTCCTTAAGAACCTAGAAGACCAAAGAGAGCTGATGGTGAGAACAACCAGTCAGAACCTGCTTGAAAGCCAGGGAAAATACCTGAGTGTGTGTGTGTGTCTGTGTGTGTGTGTGGTGTATTGCACTCAAATTGTTTAACTGTACTATGCTTATACGCTTGCTTTTTTCTAACCTCCTTCCTCCAGCCCACACCTATCACTGCCCATATTTGGTACTCTCATCTATTAATGTCTGACGCCGTCATCCACCCGGGATCTAGACAGACATTTGTAATATAATTTTCTCCAGCATCCAGTAGACAGCGCAAACCAGTTTCTGTGTGGGTGTATTAGTGTTGATAGTGTCTGAATTGCTGCTCCTCTTGTACCTGTCTAAGGGTCACTGTCACAGTGCCTGCCTGGGAGTGGCCACAGAGAGGGCAAGAGTGCATATCCACGTTATTACACCCAAGCCTTAAATACCAAGACTGATTGCATAAGCTACTACCGACTACTATCAGCTCATTCAGCCACACATCTAGCTTCTGTTGTTAAAGTTGCTCATTTATAAACCACAAACCTCACAAGCAGAATGTGACTATAAAGAAAGTAACAACATATTTAAAGGACAGTGATTGCTCTATATAAACTGCTCCCCTAAATGTTAAAGTGTCACACTATGTAATAAACTGGAGATAGAGCACAGTCTCGTCCTGAGAAATATATCTGATACATTTCTCTCCTTTGCACAGGGATGCCCATTTTCCTTTGTGTGTGTGACTTTCTTATAAACAGTAGTTGCCATGTAATATCTGTCTGTAGTGTCTGAGGTTAGGGAGTGGACACCAGTGGATGACTGTTTTAGTGATAGACTCAGACCATAATATTAAACACGCTGCTCAGCATGCTGGTATGACATCATAGTGCAAAGTAAGGGGAAGAAGGGCAGACATGCAGGTACAGACATGCCCTGCAGTTAGCATTGCAGAAACACAGCAGGAGTGGATTGACTTGACTTTACTATTAATATGTTATTGGAGCAATAAGATACTGTAAGTTAAATAGTTATGTAATTTTGCATATAAACACATGTAGGTCAAAAGGTAAAAGTGCAATTATTATATGATATGTTATGGCTTCTGTTTCTTCCTAGATGAGAAACATCACAGAAACTTTAATGAAACCCCTGGAGAAGTTTAGGAAAGACCATCTCGGTACAGTAAGGGTAATGTATAATGGTTTATTTCCTCTACCCAATAGCGTTTAGCAGATCTGGTTTAATATAATGGTTGTAAAAAAACATATATTTTACAGATAGCTGCTAATAGAAAACTGATTGTACTAAGCACTGAGGCTACACTACTTATTATCAAATATTTCATTTTTCTTGTGTGCTTCTGCTTCACTCCACTGCACTCTCAAGGCGGAAAGAAAGAAGTACGAGAAAGAGACAGAGAAATACTACAGCTCTCTGGAGAAGCTTCTGAACATGTCAGCGAGGAAGAAAGAGCCACAGCTACAAGAGGTATTTATCCTTGTCTGAACTCTTGACAGATATGTACAGCTGTGACAGCAAAAATGATAGAAACAGATATTTTTGTTTAGTATGAGAATCCCTGTTTTGGGTTTTCTCTTCTGTGCCACGGGGAAGAGCCTTACTGCAAAGCCTCTTGGACCATGTGAGTTTCCACTGACGTGCCTTGCAGTAACAGTTTTCCTGGCGTGCTTGTAAAGAAAATGTGTGCTCACTTGTACTGTACTACCAAGGTCAGCCCTGACTGCGGTCGTTTGTAGAATAAGCCACGCTGCAGTACGATGACATGAACATTTAAAATTTGTTTCTGTCTTCTTGTCTCACATGTTTCATGTGGCCATGTAAGGCTTACCCATACATTGTATACACCAGGCAGAAAAGGCACTTGAAAATGTTGACATTATGAATGCAGTTCTGCTCAGTGTGTTCTCTGTGTCTCTTGTGACACAAGGGTCTTTGTTACAAACACCGATTACTGTCAGACTTTAATAAATGTACTGCAGGGTTCGTTCACAGCAGTCATGAACTTCATCAACACTGCATCGCTTGTTAATTCAGCTCAATGAAAAGCAGCATATTACACTTAAAGATTATTTGCAAAGTTGTATTTACATTTTATATATATATATTTTTTTTTAATTTCTGAGAAAAACTTGTCATTTGGATCTATTTACTGTAAATGAACTTAGCTTGAGTATCATCATTTCTTTTTTATTCACCAACTGCAGTATGCAGTCTGTAAGAATTTAATGCTATACCCAGAAAAACCTCTGGCCTCCTAAATTGCCCTGTATCATAAAGATCATGATGGTTATTTCTTTGCTTCCATGCATCTTTGTGTCACTATAATCATCATGCTGTGTGCTCTCCACCTCTCTAGGCAGACTGCCAGGTGGAAGGCATGAGGCAGCACTTTCAGGACGAGTCACTGGACTATGTGTGCAAACTGCAGGAGATTCAGGAGAGAAAGAAGTTTGAGTGTGTGGAGCCGGTGAGTGACTGGCCTCCAGGGCATGTCAGCAGCGATGTGGCTGGATATAAGATATCACAAGGGCTTTAGTTTCTGTCTTAGTGGAAAGTGACTAACTAAAGTGACAAATGTTTTGCAATGAGATTCTCTTCCGCCTGCTGACTCTTTAAATTAAGATTTCTAATCTGCTTCTTACTGTTTTGTGATTTTTCTTTTAGATGCTGGCCTTCTTTCAGACAGTCTTCACTTTTTATCACCAGGGCTTTGAGCTTGCCAAGGACTTTGACCATTATAAAAGGGCACTGCAGATCAATATTCAGAATGTAAGCAATACTTAAGTTTTATTATTATATTTAAAATTGGGATAGTGACAACTCTAACCACAACAACAAACACTTGTATTTGTGTGTTCTTGTTCTTCCCTTCGAACAGAAAAGATTTTATAATTGTTTCCAGATGTAAATTCTAAATAATTTGGCCACTAAGTGGCAGAAAAGCCCCACAGTTAACTCCTCTTGTGTCTGACTTGTTATCCGATCATTTCATAGTCCAACATTTTCTGGTCTTTATGTCTTGAATTATCTACCAACATATTACAAAACAAAAGCACTGCCTTATGTTCTGTTTACTTCATCTACTTGTAATTTCATTGCTCCTCCTATGTCGTTCCCCCTATTCTGTAATGCTATTGCAGTCTTAGCCTTGTTTCAGTCTGGCTGATTTCACGTAGATACTGCAGCGATTCGGGGGGAAGCTCATCAACTTTAATTGGCAGTGGCCTCTCTTTAGAAGGGTCGTCCTACCCAGTGATTGAGGATCAGGAAGTGACTTCCTGGAATGTGCATTTGCTTATTTTTCTCCTCCCAGACAAGGAATCGATTTGAGGGTGCACGGTCAGAGGTGTTTGAGCTAATGAAGAGGATCAAGGACACACCCCAAGAATACAGACAGACCAGCCCGATCAGCTGTGAAGGCTACCTCTATGTACAGGAAAAACGTAAGACCTTTGTATGGTTTAAATGTGTTGTACTATGGGTTTTAATATACACCCATTCATTACACAGAGTCAATGCAAGAAAAACATGGAAAACTCCGCAAATATAAAAGCGTACTCTAAAAGAACTTTTACACTTTTTCCTTAATATACAAATTATTTCAGAATCGTATACAAAGGTCATCAGTGATGTTCTGTAATGTGTTGCTACAGCAGGAAAGTTTAGACGGATGAGTTATCCTCAATTCCTGTGCATATCTCCACATTTTGCTCTTTCACAACATTGTCTGTCAGTATATTTCCTGGATGAGTATGAGTAATTGTTCTAACCCTGATAGAGTGAATGCCTGTGTCACATGTGTGTCTTGTTGTTTTAGGGCCACCTCCCTTTGGTTCAAGTTGGGTCAAACGCTACTGCACATTTGTCAAAGAGCAGAAGATCCTGCACATGGTGACCTTCGACCACAGATCTGGTGGGAAGATTGTGAGTAGTCATAGAACACAGTGCAGTTGCCACACAGTTTTATATATTTTTTGCAGTCTTTCTTTTTTCATTTTGACTACTTTTAAAGATTTTTAATCTCTACAACTTTTTTAATAATGTTTTTTTTTTTTTTTTTTCGCAGGGTGAAACAGAGTCCGTCACGCTCAAATCCTGCCTCCGTAAAACAACGGACATGTTGGACAGGAGGTTCTGCTTAGACCTCGACATAACCGATCGGTACGTCACCTCACACTCAGACACTGTGTTGAAATTGAGCGTGAGGTGCAGGTATCACTTTACATTGTGCCCAAAATTGATACAGTTACTGTATATGAGAATTTTCTTCATGTATCACAATAGTAATACTGATCTGATATTCCTCATTGAACAGTTTGGCTATAGATCTTCGCCCCATAAAGTTTGTTTCTCCGTGTTGCTGATCGCAGGGGGCAGGACAGCAGGATTTGTCTTGGAGCACTGCCCTCACACACCCTGCTCTGCCCTCCTGTAATAGATACCTCATTTTGTCACACATCTTAACTCTGCCCTGCCCCTTTTCTGTAGTATTAATAGAAAAGCAATACCCCAGATTTAGTATGGAAATTCGAGTCCACACATCCTATTCGGACTGTGATGAGTAACTTGATATCCATCTGGTGCCACATGATTGTCGCTCTCATAAACCAACTGGGATGACAAATAGGGCTGATATCTGTAACTGGAAATCAAAAGGTGCATGTGTCCTTGTCAGACGGGGATTTTTGTTTCAAAGACTGCTGAGCACGTTTCATTTTTTATATTGACAGACATTACCAATTCATTACTGAATTGACCTTAAGGCTTTGCCGACTGCTAATGCGGTATGACTCTCTCACAGGCCTGGGACGGTGCTAACAGTACAAGCCCTGTCAGAGGATGACCACAAGTTCTGGATGCAGGCCATGGGTGGGAAGGAACCTGTGAGTCACCTTCCTCTAATGTGTCATCACTGCCATTCTTTGAAAAATAATATTTTCATTTCTTATACTTCCATATAGACTACCCGTGTTTTAATAAGGATTGATTCACTTTTAGAAACCTGTAAACATGCTTTTTTTTCTTCTTTTAACAGATTGGACACTACCTTGGAAGAACTTATTCTAAAGAAAGAGGAAGTAAGTATATAATGATACCAGACTTTGTGTCCACAAAACACATATAATGTGCTTCATCATATTTAAAAACATTTTTTTTTTCCTTACACTTTGCAGTTGATGCCCAGCTGGATGACGTGGGTTTGGATTTTGTGAAGAACTCCATCAGCGCCATAGAGACGAGAGGTGAGCTTCAGATATATAAATATATAAAATCTCAGTGAAGAGAACTTTAAAGTTGTTTAATTTGAGAAATGAATGAAGAAATGACTCACTTGGGTGCAGGTGCTTTATATGCACTCAAGGTGGCAGTCATGCTCCAATATTGACGCAGGGCTGAGTGGTAGGTAGTGCAGGCAGCATATTAACATTATGTTGATATTAATGGCTGCCATTGCACTGCACTAAAATCCCCATTCTTCACTTGGTTGTCTGACATCTTCAGTCAAAAGATATAAATAAAATAAAATAAAAGTATTTCTCTATGTAAATTGTTACCTATTATACTCATGTCAGTTTGGACTGCATATATTTTTTTACATGCAGGGATGTCATTGTAGACTCTTCCATTGTTAGTTTTTCATTGATTTCATTTTTATTGCCTGTGTTGTGTGTTGTTGTCCCTGTAACGTGTTTTGCAACTTGAATGACGAAAATGCTATAAATTAATTTTAATAATTACTATTATTACTTATCAGGTATTAATGACCAGGGACTGTATAGAGTTGTTGGTGTGAGCTCCAGGGTCCAGAAGCTCCTCTCATTAATGATCGGTAAGTTAAAGTTCATCCTTTTCTGAACAAGTTTCCTGGTAAAATCTGGATTAAGTTTTTATTTATATGCTACTGCACTCTCGTTTGTGATATTTGCCGGTTAGTTGAATGTGCTGATGTAATGGATGTATCTGCTGGGGCGATATTAAAAAGATAGTGACTGGCAATCAGCCCATGACTCAGCTTATCTGTACAAAGACTCGCTACAGTGCAACAAGTGCCTGCAGTGTGAATATTTGTCTCCATTCAGTTTTATATCCGCCAGACAACCTGAAGGGGCCCCTCCCATCCACATGCTTGCACTTTTTGACGACAAAGACGGCCCCTCAAATGCTCACAGCTGGCTGTTGGCTGTCATTTGCCTTTCTCAATTTCCTTTGCCTCTCACTTGTCTTGGAACCCTTTCACTCAACTCCTTTTTTCTATAGATCTTGTCCTCTCTGCTTTCCAAAGCTCCCTGTCTGCTCTTTGGTTTCCTGTCGTCTCCAGCAGACAGCAGCTCGCTCTCCAATCTGTGTTCAGAATGACAACAAACTCAGGCAGCCACCAGCCTTTCTCAGCTTCCTCTCCGAAACCTTCCAGCCACCCAACCTGCTGACTCATGTTATAGACTCCAAACACACTCTGCTGCAGTTCTCTTAAGAAGCTGAAGTAAATGTTAGTTTACCGATTGACCACATAGAATACTTTGGCTTTATTATTATTTATATTCTATCTTGAAAATTACTGATATGCCGATAGTTGTACTTCCACTAAGCATTCACAAACATGTCTTGCATACAACAGTTCACTATGTGTGGGTGAAGCAAGCTTTAAACCCTGAAGAGAGAGTTCGGATCCTCCCACTCCTCCTCCTTTTCATTTCTCACCCGCCAACGTGGCTACGGTCCAATCAGAGAGGACAGAGGGATAGAAAATGATTCTCCCATCTTAGTACAGAAGAAACAATGGCAGCGTCACCCATTGGGTGTCAGGCGAAAATATAATGAATAAGAGTGTAAAAGTGAGCTCAACTTTCACTCTGACCTATAAAGGAATTTGTATTTGGTGTAGGTGGGAATCTGACAACGAAAGTTGCTGAACTAGAGTTTTTAGTTCTATACATATAATTGCAGAGTGAGATAAATTTGAGGAATGCTATGAGATATATGAGAGCTACTGCATTTTCATGGTTTCTGGCTGAAATGACCATGAATGTTGTGTCTTTTTTCTACTGGATTATTCATATCAGTTATTGATTCATTTAAAGTTTATGTCACTGAGATTACAAAAATATAGCTTCCCAGTCTGTGCTTGTAGATGGTATATTCTTTTGTAAGTCCCACAAGAGAAAAGTTTGCTGTATTGCAACAAAAGGGTATGGCAAAATAGAAGCTTCAGTGAAAACAAAGTAATTAATAAGTAGACATACATTATACACATAAACACAAGTACGTTTAATAGCAGCAATTATATGTAAAGTGTAACCAGGGAAAACTAAATTGCACATTGAAATATAGTTAAAGTCCAGGGACAGATTGATTGTGTTTTTTTGTTCAAAATCCAAATTAGAGAAGATCTAATGCTAATGGTCAGCAATGGTCCCATAGGCCAGTGGATCACTATTGAGCTAGTAAAGAAAGCCCATTCCTTTGATTTCTGCTAGTTGAAATAATTCAAGGTATTTTTTAACCTCTACAAAAAGATTCAGTTAAAACCTGTTATAATGTCATGGGGGTTCAGTGGTTTGCACTGTTGCCTGTCGGCAAGAAGATCTGGCTTTGCATGTTCTCTCCGTGTCTGAGTGGGTTTTCTCCTGGTACTCTGGCGTCCTCCCACAGTTCAGAGACATGCAGTTTAACTGGTACTCTAACATGCCTTTCATGAATGTCTTTGCAAATTTCTAAATGTCTACTTTTTATTTGGGCTACGTTTAATTTGTGACATTTGGAGTATATCTGTTGTGTTTACTTTCTGATACTACCATTGGACTGTTTGTAAATCCACGCAACTCATGTTTTGGATCTGTTTTTTTTTATTTTAATAGATATTTCTGTGGTTATGAATTTGTATAGCAACACGTTCTTTCTTTTCTGCTGCAGTTCCTGCTTTAAACACTATGCTCAAGTCACCACACTGCTGTAATGTCTCCAAGGGCTTTATTTAGATAACACAGGTAAAATAATTAAGAGTTACACCTTTGGTTTAAATTATGCCAGGCCTGTCTTCCTAAAGCAGACCGCAGAGCCTGTGCAGACCCGGTCAGTCTTTTGCTCACACAGAAGCACACCTTTGGCTACAAAAACATTACAAAAACATTTGCCCTCAGAAGTTGATATTGGACAGGCCATTTTGTGGACGAGAGCAGACAGAGAAAAACAGTCATCCTGGCTGCAGTGCATTGAAGAAATCAAAAAAATAAATTCCCAGTAACAGACAACCTGCCACCCACGAAGCTGAAGTCTGTGTGGTGACCCTGACACTGTACAGTACGTGTCTGACTAAAAAAAAAAAACTTCACTGGCACGTTGCACCTCTACATTCTCTATAATTCATCAGAGGTTACTCAAGGTGTGACTAAAGCCCCCTGAATTTCCAGCACAACACAGCCCTGGAGTCCCTGTGGAGCCAGTGAGGTAGTAAGGGATTAATTAAACTTGTAATGAGTATAGAACCAGCCACCGTCTACAGAAGCTGTAACTTCCTTCCAAATCCACTGGGGCCAGGCTCAATCCCACAGCTAGTAACAATGCTTTTATCCTCATATGGCTAATTACAAGTTACATATTTATATTGCACATTTAAGCTTTCCAGGCTGCACACAAAATCACACACAGTCCTTCTCTTTTCATAATAACTGAAGAACAGTTAGTCGGTGCCTTTGTGTTAATTCCTTAGTCAGTGAATGTTATTGTAATGATATGTTGCATGATTGGGATTCATGCAGATGAGAAGAGCAACGAGGTGGATCTGTCCGCCAGCGAAGACTGGGACGTTAAGACAATAACAAGTGCACTGAAGCTGTATCTGAGGTAAGAAGCGATGTGATTAAAGAGACACACACACTGAGACACACAAACACATTGTCAACCATTTAAAGCTGCATAATTGTATTAATCACCTGTCCATTGACAGTTAATTAGAAGCTAATTAGTAGTTTTTGTTATTTTTAAAGCAAAATCTCCATATTTTCTGCTTCTCAGATGTAAAAATAAGAAGTCCTTTATTAGTCCCGCAAATTTCAGATGCAAGTTTTTAAATCTTCACTGTCTCATAGATGATGTTTAGAACTGTTGGAAACTATTATTTTTTCAAAATACATTTCAGTCATTTAATGCTCAAGACCACAAGAACCGTGTTAAAAAAGAAACCACTAATAAATGTTTAACCCTCAATTGCAATGTTTATTGTCACAAAATTCAAAAAAACTTGGCCATGACAGAGACTTTCTGTTGACTTGAATATGAAACATACCCCCCCTCCCATTGTCAACTCTTGTCATTTATAAAATAGCTACAGGATTCATTATGCACTTTGCATAATTAACTCCTCGCAAGGTCACATTGCTTCCCACTTCCACTGGCTCCTTCCAGGTTGACGGATATAGTGAGGGTAAAGTTCAAAGATTTAAAATTAAGTTTGACTGCAAGACGCTGATGCAGTTTCATTTAAAGGCCAGGTTTTTTTTTTAATAAGCGAGCTGTTAGCAGCAGATTAAATTGGCTTTGGTTATTTAAATGAAAGCAAAGTCTGAAACACAAATTTTGAATGTGCTTGTTTTTCCTTAAAATACACAGTAAGAATATTCACAAAAAATTGATACTGACCTGTGGTAAATGTGAACCGTTACATTTGTGAGTCTCTCTCATTTTTCAGTTTTTTAACCTCCACTGTTTTGTTGAATTATATATAATTTGACTGCACCAAAAGATTATCAAGGATTAATGACTTTAACATTTCTTCATAGTTTTTACTTTCACAATGATAAGATAAAGTGCTACTATGTAATACCAATCTGTGTTTTTTGATGTTGTTCACTGTCCACTGCTGCGTGGGAACTGCACTATTATCTATTCAGTATTCGTATCAAGATATACATGACAAGTCCTTCAGATCAAGATTGTGTTGTGATTAACTCATTTTAAGCTTTGCAGGAAGCACTTTGATGTAATTGGTTCACAGCTGTGGGATTCTGCTACACACAGGATTTTCTATTTGAGCTTCTACAGTTTTCATTCAGTCACCACTTTCAACATACTATTGAATCTAACATGGCATATCGCTGTTGTTATGCAATATAAAACAATGCTTACTGTCTTTTACTTTCTGTCTGGTCTGCTGGAGTAAAGCAAGTTCAGTCTCCTCGGTTTTCTCTGATGCTAAGTACCTTTTGGCCACTGGCCAGCTGCAGTGTGAAAGTACCTTCAGATGAACTTGGTTATCTCAATGCGTGCACCATCTAATTCCATCCCCCTGGCCCAGCCACATTAATCATTGCTGTGTGTAGACCCTATAAAACAGTGCGCCGGCTATTTCTGTCCCCCCTCGCTCACTTCTACTCTCCTTCTCCACCCACCTCACCCATGTCTCTTTCTCTCACTATCTCTCTGTGAAGGAGCCTTCCTGAGCCATTGATGACCTATGGACTTTACAAAGAGTTCATCAGCCCCGCGAGTAAGTCTGACCACCCTTTATACCAAACATCGGAGTACAGGACAAAAACAAACAAATCAGCCAGGAATGAACATTTCATCAGCTTTAGGCAGTGGAATATTAACAGTTTGTTCTTCTTCAATGAGCTACTGAACATAACTTTTTTCTCATACTGTCATTGCCGCGGCTCCTCTTAACAGTCTCTGTATAAAACTAGCTCCCGTCTCTTTAAGGCCCCCCTCCTGATAAAGCCCAGTCTGCTCTGATTGGCCAGTCGGCTCACTCTGTTGTGATTGGTCAACCGCATGTAGGAAATGCCGGCCTCCACTCACACTTTACCTGTCTTTATTCAAATAGAGGGTATTGATGTCACATGTTCCCGTTGGAAACTGATAAGGCATTTCAGGAGCTTCTGTGTTTTCTGTACAGGAGAGAAACTCCATTTTACCACAGAATTTGGTATTTATAACTTTACAGAACTTTTACAAACACAAAAAAGTAGAAAGGGAAACACTGAAAAAAGTACAATAAGTTTTCTTTAAGGTTGTGGGGGTAATAATAGTCAACCATCTTGCAGGGGTAAGGCATTCATAGTCATTACGTGGTACTTTTTATATTTCTTTATGCTGTAGCTTTATGATTTCTTACTTGGTTTCAGGAACTTGTTACTTTCTGCACTAAATATATGTGTTGTTGATTTCTAGTTTACCAAAGAGCCTTTCAGCTGACTTTGGCTCAGACAGTCTCCCTTGAAATTTTTGTTTTATATAAATCTTTCTGACATTTATCAGACATTTAAGAATAACGCGTGAGCTTACTGCTCATGTTTTACAAGTTACGTCTGTTTTTTAAGTGCTACAAAAAAAATGTGGCCAAATAAGCAATTAAAAGTTGGGGCTAAGAGATTTAAAATGCCAAATATGCTATAATTTGCATGCCCTCAAATGGTCCAGTTACCTTAAACAGCAAAATAAGCTAAAAAGTGTTTCACCCACATAACATAATTTCTGTATGAAATGTTTTCAAAGCAAGCCAAACTTGAATCTTATTACAACAAGTGCTATAATTGGATCAGGTTGACATTTTTATCAGGCGCTCGCAATGCCCTCATAACAAGGGGGGGAAAAAGTGGATTAGCAGTGAATATTTTTTGATGGGTGACAGCATCCATAAGAAGCTTTTTCCATGTTTAAATCCTTGTCATTCCCATAGTAATGATATTTTGTGTGTCTGTGTGGAAGTGTGTATGTGGTTTCTCGTGTGGGCGGCCAGATGCCCATGTGTGAGGAAATGTTTAAGAGATGATCTTGGGGGTTTTAACACAACCCCTTTATATGGTAGCAACTGTAACGTAAAGCTATCTCCTCTGCCAGCATAGTGGTCCCTGCTGCCAAATTCTGGGAGGCTTCGGATCACATATCACCCTCACACCTCTTCACTTGTTTCAACTGTGATCTATCGTCCTCAAATGTTTAACCCCTTGTGCTTGAGAATCATAGTCTCTGATCGTCCAAAAAGAGGGGGATATTCTTCGAAATGAATGATTTGGTGTGTCTGTATCTCCTTTTTCTGTCCCGGGTTGTATTGTGTCTTTGCCACTTTAGCAGCACAGAGGTATCTTTGTAATTTAACACAAGTTTATGGCTGCTTCTGCATTTAAACAGAGGGTGGTAGTCCAGAGTCTCGCATCCAAGCTGTCCACTGCCTGGTCCACAAACTACCAGAGAAGAATCGACTAGTCCTCGGGCTGCTTATGAAGCATCTGGCCAAGTGAGTGTTCATACTTCCTTGGTCATAGTTCACCCAATCTCCACCCCCTCTCTTCCTCTCAGTTCTTTCTACTCTTCCTGTCTGTCTCCTCATTCTCACTCCACATGCTTTTTCTCTCTCTCGCTCTCCCTCACTCCCACTCTCTTCACTCCCCCTTCCCTGCTGTCACTCCATCTCCTCTCTGTCTATTCAGTGACTGCTGGGTAAGAAAATTGATGCTGCCAGCATCGCAACATTTTCTTTTTCGCCTTTTCCTCGGTCATTTTGGCATATATTTAAATTGGTTGGAGGAGGACTGTGGAGCCTTCCGTACCTGCATACGGTTCTGCAGCCCACCAGTGAAGTGAAATGAAAATGGACCACTCAAATTAAGCTCTCTCTTGAGATTACACACTCCTTGGATAGACCACTATTGTGCATCACTCCATTTGTGAGATTAGATAGGAGAAAAGATTTAAATAATGTTAGCTAACATTACAGGGTTTTACCTCAGCAAGCTTTTTATAAACTAAATATGAGCAAATTGAAGATAAGTAAATAATCCCTCTTCCCCGAGGCAGTGAAAGTCTGGTGGATCTTATTTCATAGAAACCCACAGCAGAATCAGGCTCTGGTAAAAAGGCAGTGCTATTGAAATTGAATTTGGATTATCCAGCGTGAAATTCTCCAGACTGGAGAGACTTGAATATTTTTCTGAAGCTGGCGTGTGTGCATGTCCTGCAGGGGAAGGAAGCAACGCCAGAATTTCACACTCCTATCTGAAATGGTTTGAGAGATGTTATAAATGTGAGTTGTCACCAATGTTTTTGTCTTCAAAGGCATCCTTTGAAGCTATTTAAGCTGTCTCTCTGCAGATGCACTGCGTATCATCATATTTTGAGAGTGAAATCTCTTCACCTGTCCGTAAAACTTTCTCTTCAAATAAATGGTTTTTCTACACTTTTTTGACCCCTTAATATAAAGTTTAATCTGCGGAAGGTGTCCCAGTTTTAAAAATGGAACGAGAAGACATTTAATAAAGCACTGATGGCTCCTCAGTTTAAACATTATCTGGTGAGTTAGATCAGCCCTGACCCATTTGTAGAAAAGCCACTGTCAGGATCATTAATTGTGGTATTTGAAGGAAGGAAAACTTTCAAGTTATTTCATTTTTTATCAAATATTATTGGGAAACTTAAATAAATATCAACAAGGATCGTGCCAAATGAGAAAAACAAATAAGCATTACACAAAGACTTCATAACTAATTGAGGCTACAAAGTAATTCATCAAGATTTTAATATCTCTTTGTAGTTTTAGAGCAATTTTGAATTCTTGCTTATTGTAAAAATTTTAAGGGTTGAGCTATTAAAATTTATATTGTTTATATTGTTTCTTTTATCTAAAGCAGATTACAATTTTCTAATTTCATTCAGCCCTTTATACACATCAGGCACTTCCAAGCTCAGTGGCTGTCTCTCCCAGGGACACTTTGGAATGTGAAGCTGGAAATTTAACCTCTAACTAGCTCAACTAGCTCTACCTCCTGAGCCACAGCTGTCTGTAGTTTATAAAGTTATTACACTTTTATGAAACAAAACAGTTTTACATTAGAAAAGGCCTGACATAAACGAGTATGGACAATGTTTAGGTCACAAGATGAGTTTTGTATAGATCTAGATGAGTAACCAATACCAACTCTTCACTTAAAATCTGTTGTGAGTTCAGGGTGTTTTTCAGGCAGTGGTCACGTCTGACATTTTCCATTATTTATGTTTCTTTTTTCCTTATATAACTTAAAGGAAAAATGAAAAAATGACAATATTATACAGTTATAGTACCCTCTTTCAAAAGTTCACATCGGTGGAGTTGCATTAGTAAGTTGTTGTAAAATATTTATAAGGTGTGTTGTTATTTTTGTCAGTGTGGCGGCTCACAGCAAACACAATCTGATGACCGTGGCGAACCTGGGCGTGGTGTTTGGCCCCACATTAATGAGGCCACAGGAGGACACGGTCGCTGCCATCATGGATCTCAAGTTCCAGAACATCGTGGTGGAAATCCTCATTGAACACAATGAAAAGGTAACACTCCAAACTGTGGTTCCCAACTCATAACACTACATCTTTCAGCAGAGATAATCAGCACAATGTCTTTAGAAACAGAGAAAAACATTCTCTATTGTATTCCATTACATTCTCCCCCCAGGTATTTGTTTCTGTTGGTCAAATCTTAATTGCAATGATTTTAGAATATGATTCATTGTCACTGCAACATTTCGTGTATCATTTGCTCATACAGTATGCTTCATCTCACCATCCAAAGCCATTTACTAAATGCTAGACACACTAAGCAACAGAAGGTACAGTGATAGCGCCAAATTAAATCTGAACCAGGTGACATGACAACAGCGAGCCGCACGCAGCGCCTTTATGGTTGCAAACCCTAGGTAGCATGTAATAACTTGAAAATGAAGGATAATAAATGTGCAAGTGAAGCATATGATCCTGCTTACTTGGCAAAGAGTGTTTTCCCACTATTGTTTTGAATTTTTTGAATTTTCTGTTTCTTAAGATTTAATTAGGTAGTTCCTGTTGGCAGAGGAGTGCACATACTGTGCTGTACCTGACACCAGGACTTGAGCGAGAGTCTCAATTAGGGTGAATGCTCTTCCTCTCTGTGGGTCCTGTTAAGGCAGTTCAGCTCAGATGTCTTTTTATTCACATTCAAACCCTGCCAAGCCAAGAAGTCAGCTTCTCTGAACAAATATTCTAGTGATGAAAATGTGTCACATGAAATAGTGGGTCCTTTATGGTAGATTTGGACATAAACATATATTGTATTAATTACATGCTCTGCAAAAATAAAAAGCAGATATAAAGTTCTCAGATAATGAGATGATACAAGCATAGACTTCACCTATTTTTTATGGTGCAGAGGATTCAAACTTTTTTTCATTTCCAGAGTTTTTTAATCTGGCCAGTAGGGGGCACCCTTAGTGCTCATACCAGCTCTCAACACATGGTATGCTCTTCATTTTCACCAGGTTGGTTATTGTGCAGATTACCATATAGGTTTTTATAATTTTGGGAGGTCTTTTGACTGCCTCAATATATTAATTTTGCTTATGAGTTGTTTCATAACCTGTAGTTCATGAGATCATGTAATCTCCACAGAATGTCATTAATCGGTATCAGTCCTCAAAGGGGGATAATTCTCCGTGTCAAAAGCAAAAAAGGTTTGAGATTAGTTTCCTAATCTGTTTGGCGCAGCACTGCACTCTGCGTAGAATCAGATGAAACTGGGAGCTTTTAGTGATTTTTTTTTTCCCTCCTCCAGCTTCATTAATGGAAGATGATGTGTGTTGTGAATAATATCCCCACCCATGCTCGCAAATCTAAAATAGGGTGTGAGAGAATACAGAGGCAGGAGTGAAAACCTACAGGGTATACAAATGTGCTAAAACAACAACAGCAGCAGCACAGTGTATGCTTCTAGTGTCGGAGACTACCCAGAGGTATCCAACACCGTCCAGGTGATAAAGGATGTAGTGTTAGAATGCAGCACGAGCGTTTTGGAAAGTACAGCGTGTTAGAGGGGAAAAGTTGAGCAGACAGACAGACAGGCATTAACTTTCCTCACAGCTGAGTCCCATTCCAGACTGTTGATACCCCCAGATACCAACAGTAGACTCTGTTTTACATTCACCTCCATCTGCAGAGAGAGGAGAGAGAGTGAGAGTGAGAGCGAGAGCAGAAACTCTCAGCCATATCAGATTTCTCACTTTTTCTATCTCCCTTTCTCCTAAAAACTTTCTCTCTCATGCCCCCTCCTCTGTCTTTCTCTCCTGTTCACACTCTGTCTCACTTACTCTACCACTTTATCTCTCTCTCTCGCTCCCTCTCTCTCCCTCCTCCCTTCCCTTCCCTACCTCCCTCCTCTTCTTTTCTGTGATCCTTTCGGAGTCTCTGCTGAGACTTCCTCTCCTCTGTAGCCCTATTCTCTTTTAACTCCACATCTGAAGTTTATATGTAAACACGGCCCAGTGTAAACAGGCTGCGCCAGTTGGCCAGCCCTCCTCCAGCCCAAACTCTGTTTATTTTACTCTCCACTCTTTTAGAGACTAGGTCAATTTCTAAGGAGAGGTGTCACCTTAACTTAGACCCACATTTCTGGATGGGATGTGATTGCGTTACATGTGGAGCTGCTCTTGTTTATTTTGGCACAAACATAATCTTCTCACATGCAGTTTTTAAGGTCCAATCAATGAGCTGCTCGGCTTTTCCGAGGAGCACATGCTGTGGCTGCAAATGGCCCTTTTCCATTCATCTACTGCTACACAAGCCTGTGAGTTTCAAAACCTGTTCACTAGAGTGAGGTCAGTTGAGGACATTCTGCTGCTGCTCAACAGTCTTGGAGTCTGTGCATTTATTCCTGGTGGAGACTAACTCACTCACCCTGTATTCAGATCTTTGCAGATGCACCCGAGTCATGCCCTCTTTCACCTGCTGCCCCAGTATTCTCCGCTCCCACAAGGCTGTCCAAGAAACAGAATCGACAGAATCGGCCCCTGGCTGTCTACAATCCACAAGCACTAGACATTCAGAATGGTAAGAGACGTACAAGTATATATCTGTTTATTTTCAATAAAATGATTATATGTAACTAAAATACAATTTTGGAGCTTTAGAAATAAGACTGTTCTTCCCTCTTAAATGTAAAGTACTTAAGTTTCCCAGGAATTAACTTCATATCTATTCATTCATTGACAGACCCGAACATGTATCAGGTGGTTCATTTTTTTAAAGATGTAGTTAAGGAGCTATAATTAGGTAACTTGCTTGAAAAAGGTCAAAAGTATATACACTTGTCCATCTATCATTAAAAAAAAGGTTTGTGTTAAATTATTATATATTAGATGCATCTGCTCATCAGGTGGTTTGAGACTATTGTGGCTTTTGTCACACAACCATTTTGGGGCACCGTTGTCATATTTTCAAATCCCACACAGTGGTTTAAAGTTTACTGACATAACAAATTTAGGATAATTCCGAGATATAAATCGCTACTTTCTGTGCACAATATTTGAATTAGTTAAAATACAAAAAACACAACCAGTTTATTAGGTACACCTTATCCTACTATACTAAATCCTTCTCATGCAATTCACTTCTAACTTGAAAACCAGTGGAAGTGCATCATCAGTGGGAAAGTTTTGTGTTTTTAACTGAACTCACTTTTAGTCACTGATGGGGTGAAATGACAATATCATTTTTCTTTGTAAGTTTGTAAAAAAGAGCCCATTACCCTTATTAGACAAATTCTTCCAGCAATACCACACACTGAGGCACATTAACTATGCTGATGTAAAATGCTACTCTGGTGATTTTGTGTATCCTTTGTGTACTTATTTTCAAATACTTAGAAGTCCTGCGCATCAGGCAAGTTGATCATGTGACCTTTTGACCCAAATAAATCTGGCTCCAGCAAGTTCTGATCTGCAGCCAGTCAAATCCCGTCCCTTCCACAATACCAAAGGAGTCTAAATCTGCTTACCAGATTGCCTCTCTTTGCCTCCCTTGCACCAGCTTTTACCATGGAGTATTTTAATATCAGGGATGAAAGGCGTAATCCTTTTTTAACCTTTGTGTCTTTTACATGGCCCTATAATGGATTTAAAGTAAATTGTCTCAGCATTTACAGGGTAAATGCAAAATTGAGGATGACGCAGTGGAGGAGAGAGGCGAGTATTTATGTGAACCTGTGACTCTTGTGTGACACACACTGTCTAATACCCCTGCAGACCTGACAGTATGTAACAGTATACCCTGCGTAGGAAAGTGCATTAATCCGAGTGAACTACAGTAGCTTTTTGCTTTTGCTGCTTGAGGGCAGACGGAAGCAAGTTGTGAACACAATATTGACCTAATCTTAATCTTTATGTTCATATGGCAAAGCTAACAATTCCAATTACATGTTCACATTCAGTGCTTACACAGTAACATTATTATCATTTATTTGGAGTAGTGTTTCTAGCCACCGGGTAAAGTCCAACAGTCATCCTCTTTTAGCTCTGTTTTTCATCTCCACCAACTCATCCTCTTAGTTGTTTTGTTATTATCTATTATATGATTGGTGCTGAACACATCAAGCTCAGTCAGTTTTAGAGCATTTTTACTTAAAAAGAAAACAACATATAGATATTATTATAGATATTATTATACAATATTATTAAATGCAGCAGGGTTGCAGTGGACAGCTAAACAGATGTGCTTGATTGACGTCTCTTCCACTCACTTGTATTTGTAAGGGTGGAACAAATAACACTTTGGACATGAAGTTTGGTGACATCACAGGTTGATCGCCATATTTAATCTGAGCTCTGACCAATTATATCACCCATGTTGATGTTATTAATGATTGTCATTCCTTTCAAGGTAAAAACTGTTTTATAAAATATACACAGATCAGATCACCAATTTAATTCAGCCTTAATCAATCAAGGACTTGCGGTTTAAGTGCTTTGATATATGTTTGACAAGATAGAAGAACTGGTCCCAACAAACTTATTTTAACACAGCAACACTACATTGCTTTTCTCCTAAAAGCATGATCTGTATTTGTCTGTAAAATTGAAATAAAAGACTGTGTATCTCAGGTCCCTGTCTGTGAGTGCAGGAGTGTATTATTATGAACAATAAAAACTTGGTTGTGAATCTCGCCTGTTTTGACAGCCAGTTGATTTATAAAGTCCCTTGTTGATGCAGCATCTTCTTATATATTGATAAATTATTTGGCTGTTTTACCAAGCAGGCTACCATCAGTGAGCTGGAATAGGCTGAATCTTCAACAGTAGAATTATATATAAAATAAACTAACGTGTGTTTCTTTTTGTGTTTTTAATCAAAGCGTCAGTTGCAGTTGGAGACAGTTCCAACCTAGCTACAGATGAGACTTCAATGGGCAGCAATGAGTCAGTGTCGTCCCAGTCATCGTCAGCGTCGGCCTCAGAGACGCCTACAGAGCGGAGTGACCATCCCCCACCCAAGTCCAGCTTTAGCTCAGGCAGCAACTCCAGGTGAGTTGTTCACTATGCTTTACTCCCAAATGTGTATATGACTGCACCACTCAAAATGAAAAGCATTGGTTGTGTAGTGAAGTTCGAAGCGGCACACTGCAATAGGAGGCTGTAAACTGTGGCTCACACATTTTGAGTCACGTTTCTTCCCCCACAGAAATGCATCCAAATACGATTCATTTTGTTTCCACACCAGAGGAAAGCATAGCTGTCCATCTGTCCGTCTGACCCACTCTCTTGAGCGTCTGGCAGATACATTCACACAGACTTAAAAATTAACTTTATAGTCCTCACACTTCACATATTGTGAACATGATTTATCAGAAACACCCAAAGTAAATCTCATTACATTTGGGACAACAATAACTTAGACCTGAGAAGGATATTATTAGAATTGGGTTGTCAAGATCACTGTGACTTTAAAAAATACGATCTTTGCCTCGTGAATGGAATATCTCTAGAAGGCTTGAGGCCGTTTCTTCATATTTGGTACAAACTTTCACTTGGACTTGAGATTTGACTTTAGAAGTCAGAGTTCAATGGTCAAGGTCACTGACCTCACAACCGTTACAATATCTCCATTTTTGGCCATATCTCAATAGTTCATATGCTTATTCTTTCACTCATATATTTTATGGGTCTGGATAGATATGTATGTAAATGGGTGTGGTGGAGGCAGTAATTCTAGAGGCAAAAAAATCATGTTTTTCAACATTGTGGATGGATACATGTAGAAAATAAGATTCACAATTCTTATTTATAGTGTTAATTGGGTTTTATATTGAAATTGATTTTTTGTGTCATCTACTGTTTTTACTTCTTTCTCTGTCTTTGAAATGATAAAAGATGGAACATGATTTGAGAGTGGGATGCTTTGCTGTACTTCTCCCTGGCTTCTCCTCTCTGTCCTTACTTTATCTGCTAAGTCCTTGGTCCTTTTTGTTGTTTCCAACCCATGACTTGTCTTGAATGCTGATGTGAGAGATGAATTATTGTGTTATGCTGCAGATGTTAGACTCTGCTATGTCATGTCTGCACATTCACCTTGAAATCGACTTTTCTTTCTCATTCACTGTCCCTTTCTCCTTCTCCATCAGCTGAAAGGAGCTGTGAAATAAAAGCAAATCTACCTCACAACTTGAGGAAGGACAATGTGATTCTCTCACACTGACCTCTGTGGGTGCCTGCCCGCCTGTGTGTGTAGGCTTGTTGGTACCAAGCTTTTTTTCCCTGAGTTGCAGGATTAGACAGACACAGCTCTACGATAGTTATGTAACCAACTCTTTCTCTGTTTTCCCACATATGTGGCATCATGTTGGAGGACGGAAGGAGTAATCAGGAGGAGGTCGTAAATCTCAGCTCTTATTTGTTTGGGAGACAGGTGGCCACGCATTGGCCGTGTAAATCGTATTGACGTTGGGGAGATATTCGTCTTGTTTACCCTTATAGCCGCTGTCCCTTTATGAAGACTTGTGCCATATGTCACAGGGTGTCGCCCTGGCTTTGTTCACTCATAAATCTTAGCATGTGAGATGGTGGAGACCTGTTAGCACAGCACCTCTCTGGCCTGTGACCCAGGGATTTGGGTTCAATCCTGGCCAAAAAGAGCAGTAGGAGTGGCGTTGGCCAGATTATTTCCAGCTTCTCTCAGAAATATGTTATCTGCACTATGGTGAGCTCGGAGGTGCACCTGGAAAACAGCATATCTTAGTCCTTTTTTGCAGCATAGCTGCAGCGGAATCTGCCTGGTCACACACAAATGCATCCTGAGTCACCATGTCATGTAACAACACTATGTGGACTGTGGCATGATTTATCATCTACCTCATCCTTGATGTCTCGCCTCATTACTCCTCCTCTCCGTAAATTCAGTCACAGCTTCTCCCAGTGGCGCTGTTGCCCCATGTCCTGCCCAGTGAGGTTACATTGTTTTTTTGGCCTCTTTTCCTTCCTCTCCCCCCCAGCTCCAACCCCAGTCCTCAATGTCTCTTTCTGGCAGACAGCTGTGGATCATAAAATGGTGGATCAGATCTTATTTCCTGCCCACCCAAACTGGTGGTGGCTAAGCGGGCAGCTTGGCTGTAGGATTGATCCCACCTCCTACTAGAAACACTACTAAATCCCACTGCAGCCCTTCTTCCTCTCGTAGAAAGACAGTTGATAGTCCTGCTCATCCCTTTGTCAGCTCCACGCCAGGATCAACAAGGCCTGGATGCTGCAGGGTGAAATTCCTGCAATAATGAGAAACAGCAGTCTGCTTCTGTTGATGAATTTCTCCCTGCTACTAACTTGGCAGTGTATGATAATTTGCGATAAATCTCGTCATTAAAATAATAAACCAAAAGACCTCCAGTTGCATTTACTTTGAAATTGGGTGTTCATGGTGTTGTTTGATAGTTTTTCATAGTTTTTATTCAATAAGGTATAATTTCTCAAGTGTATTACAAACGTGTTTATGCCTATGAAAAATTCTGACAGCTCCAGACTTAAAATTCTTAAGAACTTGTTATATATTTAACCAACATCTGGATTGGGATCTTAATTCAGGCTCCACATACATGCATTTTCACTCGAGTCCCCATTTACTGTATTTAATCATATTTACAGAAGAAGCTTAGCTGGGCCGTTGATGGGTGAAAACAACGGATGAGCAATTCAAAGCTTGATGCTATTTTTGTTGGAGAGAAATGGCAAACGATTTCCCTCGGTTTGGCTTAGCTGTAATTGTGAGAGCAATTCTGGGATGAATCCATTTACCTCTGGTACATTTAACAAGTTTCTAGGGCAGGCGTGTGGCATTCACTGATTTTCTGTCTTTCTTTAATATAATTATTTAGATCTGTTTGTCTAGAAAATCTTAAATGATCCGTGTAATCCTCATCCAACTGAAAGCAGTTAGATGACTGTTGATAACTTTTCTCAAGTGTGGGTTTGTGTGTGCGTGTGCATTTTTTTGTTTTGTCATCTTATTTAGGGGATTTGTGTGTAAGTGGGTTCACCTGCAGGTGGGTGAAGTGTTGGTGCTCCTCTGCTCTCCTTCCTCCTGGCTGCGACCCAGGCAGACAGTGTTTGTGCCTGGGCCCAGGTTAATGAGTGGATTTGCTGCACTGCAGCGCACTGTCCCCCCATGCTGATGTGGAGCAGCTGAGCACCACAGTGGCCCCACACTGCTGCAGAGCTATAAATCACCCACAGTCAGGCCAGGCCCAAACAGAACAGCCACTGCTGGGGATGGACAAGCGCTCTGAGAGGGAGGCAGGGAAAGAAATCGAGGGAAGAACCAATGCAGAGAGGGGGAATTAAAACATGAGCGCAGTGCTGTGTGCTCACCTCCACCTATGTCCACATAAGATCCCACCATGTTCTCCCTTAAGGCAATGTCTCTCTCTCTCTCCATCTCTCTCTCTCTCTTCCACCAGTAACCACTATTCACAACATCCTCTCAACCTCCAGCCCCTCCCCAGCTGCTCCCTCTAATTGCCTTTATTAACGTCTCTATGGGAGCGGCAGCTAGGAGCAATTTGCTCATTATGTGCTGTATTAGCACTGGCCTTGGGGCAGGCATGGAACACAGAGGGATGCCTGGCTAAGACTCTTGTTCTCCTCTGCTCCACTCTGCCTTTACCAGGACCCCTACCTCTATGCTGTAGGTCGACCATAGACTTGTTGGCCTTGACAACAGCAAGTGTAAAGCACAGCTCTGACTGTTAACAGATAGAGCTCGTGGTTGAAGTGTTTTTCTGACTTTACACATAGAGCAGTTACATACATTGCTGTGGAAGCTCTGAATCTACATGTATGGGTGACAAATTAAAGGAAAAATCAACATGAAGTGCGCCAGTGAAATCTGGCAGAACAGCCTCAATGGTCCTTGGCATCGATTCTACTCTTTGGAACATGAACACCTTTTTTTCCCCCAGCGATATTCCCTCAGTGTTGGCGTTTTGTTAAGAATGGTGAAGAGCCCTGTTTAAGGACATCGGTACAAATCACCAAAATCTCTCAAATCTTGTTTTCTTTCCACATGAGATTTTGTGTTCTTTTGGTTTTCCTCTGTTTGGCGTCAGTTTTCCAAAATTTTATGAGGGGGCTGGTAGGAAAAGTTCCTGAAAATGTCTGGAGCAGCTGACTCAGATCTTTGCATTCTCACATCCACTCTTTACAGAAATTTTCAGCAAAATGTCGGCTGAAATTAGATTTAAATTAAAAAATCGTAGGTGTAAATGGAGTTTTCTTTCTTCATTTCTTAGTTTCTTTGTTTCTTTCTCCACAATTGCTCATCCTGTCCTGTTCTCGTGAACCATTGTCATCGATTACAACAACAGCGCGATGCAAGATGGCTGCACCTGAAACCAAACTGCAGCACAAGTTCATAAGGGGCAGATAAGTTTATTTGCATTAGTTGAAACATCAGACCTTCAAAGAAATGAATCAAAGCTGCTCTTTAAAATTTACCTCTCAGCTTCATGTGGGCAGTGATTGAGAGTCACTTCTCTTCGAGAGGCTTTTTGGCAGATGGGGTAGAGGGGATGATTTAATTTATGAAAACCTGTTTCTCTTTGAATTCCCATGTGTGCAGGCTGTAGACGTCTGTAGATAAAAAGTACTATGTAGCTGCTGTGTCGTAGAATGAAAAAAGATGGACATTTTTCAAGGTGACTCAAATGTGGTGTGTGATATATCAGTCTGGTTTAATTGTTTTTCTGCATTTAGATATTAATAACGTTTAGGTTGTCTTCTTGCTCTTGTGAAACACTCGACTGGAAGACAAAGACTTTTCTCTCACTGTCTCCATAACAACAGGTTGCTCGCTTTAGCTCACCCTTTACTCTGTGTAGTTATTTTGACATTTTCTAAAAGCACTGTCAGTTGGGGAAAAATACCTTAACATTAACACTTAAACTGAGGGAAATCTGCTGATTACTTTAGCATTTCCTACCAGAGTTTACTGTATACATGTTTAAGAGGAATAGAAACCAACATAGAATCTAGTTTGACTTAGTATTTTGTTTTTTTTTCTGTTTTCAGAGCTTTAGCAGCTTCGTGGCCCACACCTGGAGCATCTGGAGAGAATCAGTCTTCAGCCACCACAACTGCTTCGGACAAAGACAAGCCAGAGGAGAAGTAAGGCAGCATCCCCTTCTTTGTTTTCCCTCACTTTTACTGTTTTCCTTTCATACCCTTATTCCGTTAGTTACATGTTATCTTGCATGTTTGCTCAACTGAATCCCACACATTCCTTTGTCTAATATCTACATGCAAACCTTCACATCAATAGTTTCTCCTCACTTTTTAATTCAGTGTATTCACGCGAAGCACAACTTTTGGCTTCGGCAGGAGAAGCAAACCTCAAACACCAGATACGCACAAATATGTGGGTGAACTGGATGTAATTGTGTAGACGATCTGTCCATTACACTGAGCTATTGCTCTGCTCCTTTCAGAATAAATGATGAATTCATTTCCATCATTTTCAGATGTTGCTAAAGTAATTGCAAGCAGCCTGTTCATTCTATTGGCAATCCATTAATGTTATTTTCATATAAATACAAACCCTTATTTTCCCCGAATGCCGTTCCACAAGACTGCATTCTTCCAAATTTCTGAATTCAAGAACTCGGCTGAACATTGTAGTATTGACAACTCTGTGACCACAAACTTTTTTTCCCAGTTTGTATGTCTTCTTTCTCCTCTCATCCTACATTGTTGCTGCTTGGCAGAAAGAATATGAAATATTTATCAGGGCATCATGTGTTGAAGGCACAATTTCTACATGGTAATGTTGCTGGCATTCGAGATAACCGTTTGCAACGGTGGGCAAAACAACCTTTTCTGTGGAAGCAGTTTTTATGTTTTCTGGAATGGAGTGGCATAAATACGGCTTTTTACTAACCTTTGCAGAGCGCTAGACGTGGTTCCTTTGACGCCACTCTTTCACATCAAACTGATTTAAAATGCAGCCTCTTAGCTCTCAAATGTGAATTTACAAGCTGAAGCACAGTTGAGGGAGAATTCTTTTCTACCTCTGTTTGTGTGCAGACCTACTTCACAATCCCCCCCACCACTTTTTAATTATCTCACCATAGATGGTTGTCTGCTATGCAAACCTGATGTGTCCCTGCCTTTTTGTGCTGCACAAAAACTGCTACAAACAGCGTTGCATCTCATTTTGTTGGTGCGCGCACACAAACGCGTGTGGGTGTGTTTTGACTCGCTCGCTCGTCTGTCTAGACTGGAGATAGAGCGAGACAAGAGTGTGTAGTGGCCCGGCTCCTGTCTCAGTACTTCTGCTTATTTTCCAGCCTGGCCCATTTCTGCTGTTTCAGGCTAGTGAGTGAATGAACAAGCAGGCCCTGGGTCCAGATTGAACTATGCAGTAATCCTCCTCAAAGCTCAGCCAGCTCACTGATTGCCTTCATTTTTCAGTGTCACCAGCAGGAAAGCCAAGGCTGTGTACCCATGTGAGGCTGAGCACGACTCTGAGCTCTCCTTCCAGGTCGGCGCAATATTCAATGCCGGTAAGTGTTATCGCCTACACCAGTCGCTCACTCAGAACCAGCCTTGGCATATTGGATTTGGAGGAAAACTGAACACCCAATCTGATCTTCAATCGAACAGAGAGATGAGACGAGGAGAGGGAGGGAGGGAGGGAGGGAGGGAGGGAGGGAAGCAGGAGACACAGATTTGCTCTTCCATGTGTCTGGGAAGAGGCTTGACTAAGCTTTAATCGCTCTCAGAGGAAATGAGGATTTTGTAGTTCCTATTTTTTGTCAAAATCCTCTTTTGTGAGACACAGACACTATAGATATTGTGTAGTCTTTACACAGGGATATGTCGTGACATTTTTGATAATATCCTGCATGAATCCCAGTTTATTTGTCATTATGATCAAGCATCATATTATTAGAACTTAAAAAGTTCATATCTCTTTCGCATTC